CCCCTAGGGAGCTTCCAGTTCAAAGTGATGCCTTTCGGACTACAGGGAGCCCCGGCAGTGTTCATGCAGTTAATAAACAAGGTGCTGCATGAGCACCTCTACAAGGGGGTCCTCATCTACCTGACTGACATCCTCATCTACACTGAAACCATGGACGACCACATACCCCTGGTCCGCCAAGTACTGGAAAAACGTCTGGCAGCCAACCTGTACATCAAGCTATCAAAATGTGGATTCCACCCTGAGCGACTAGACTACTTAGGCTACCGAGTGTCAAATGACAGAATAAAGATGGACCCAGCCAAAGTGCAAGCCCTCCTAAGTTGGCAACCCCCTCCCACCCGCAGACAGCTACAAAGCTTCTTAGGGTTCGCAAACTTCTATAGGCAATTCATCCCCTCCTTTGCGAAGATCGCCAAACCCATCACAGACCACCTGAAGACAGGGAGCCCAGGAACAAAACCTTGCCCGGGACAACCTCTACAGTGGGACCTAACCTGCCAAAAAGCATTCGAGACACTAAAAGAAATGTTTGCAAAGGAATCGGTGCTGAAGCATCCTAACCCTGAGCAACCCTTCGTGATCCAAGCAGATGCCAGTGACATGTCAGTGGAAGCGGTGCTACTCCAAAGAAACAACCAAGGAAACATACAACCCTGCGCCTACACCTCCCGCAAGCTCACAGACACAGAGAGGTGATGAGCCGCATGGGAAAAGGAGGCTTTTGCAGTGAGATGGGCACTGCTAACTTGGAGACATCTATTGGAAGGGGGCCAGAAACCGTTAGAAGTCTGGACTGACCATAAGAATCTGGAGGCTCTTAGGACCCCACAGAAACAAACAAGTCCGATTGGCTCAATATTTCAACAGCTTCAACTTTGTACTAAAGCACATTCCAGGGCAGAGGAACTTTCTAGCTGATGCCCTCTCCTGCATGCCCCAGTACAAATTGAATGGGAGCAGGTGGTGGACACCATCATTCCCTCTACCCAAATAGCTGCCCGAGTGACCACCAGACAACAATGCTGTGACTGGCATGACCAACCAGCAGGCGACCTAATCACAAGACTCAAAACTGAACTGCTAGCAGATCCTTGGTTCCAAAACAATGAACACATCTTGACAAAAAAAGATGATCATGCATGGAAGCGGATGAAACTCTATGTCCCAGAATCCCTATGCACCCTAATTCTCCAACCATGACGCCAAACTGGCAGGCCACTTTGGATTCCTAAAGACATTACACTTAGCCCGGAGGCAGTTCTGCTGGCCCAAAATAAAGAAAGATGTGGACAGTTATTTGAAAAGTTGCATCATCTGCGCCATAATGAAAAGGCGACCAGGAAAAAAACCCAGATTGTTGCAGCCAGTAGCAGAGCCAACAAGGCCATGGGAGGAGATCGCAATGGACTTTATAGTAGAATTGCCGAAAAGTGGGAGAAACACGGTGATTTGGACTGTAATAGACCTGTTCTCCAAACAGGCGCACTTCATANAGTTCAAAGGCCTCAATTCTTTGGGGTTCAGCCTTTCTTATGGTCCAACCTTCACAGCCATCCATTGCAACTGGGAAAACCATCGTCTTGTCTATACGCACTTTTGTTGGCAGGGTGATGTCTCTGCTTTTTATTATGCTGTCTAGATTTGTCATAGCTTTCCTCCCCAGAAGCAAGCATCTTTCAATTTCTTGGCTGTAGTCCCCATTTGCGGTGAACTTGGTGCCCAGGAAAAACCATATACAC